TAATTAAACTGGTTTGAAACGAAAGACAATTTATAGACAAAGTATTTGCCGTCTGTTTGGGACAGGTGATACAACTGAGTGCACTGTACGTTTAATTTACCTCTTTATACAGAGAAACCCCGCTATTCAACCGATCATTCGGCAAAAAGCTATGGCACTGAAAGTTAATGCATATGTTTTAAAATGTTATTCCATTTCCGTATTTTTAAAATACTTTCGAGATTCAAAGTATTGCGTTAAAAGTGATCAGCCCAGAAGTTGTTTTAGAACAAAAACATATGTAAAAACKTATAGATATCAATTACTGGTCCGTACAGGGGAAAAAACTGTGCCCACGTTCTTGATCATACGAATGTATTATTTTCCGTTCCGGTATCCAAAAAAAAGTTCGTTTTCATTGACTGCGCGAGCAGGTGGTCATCTAAGCGCGCACATGAGAAACTGAATTGTTATAAGCAAAACTGGATAATGGGAAAAAACTATTTACTCAGTTTCCTAAAGTCGGTCCGGATAGAGCGTAAAACTGTGGTTGGACTTGAAAACGAACATTGACCTAACGGACTCGGTCTTTAGGATTTTGCACCGAAAAAAAAAAAAAATTCGTATAAACAGTATATTCTTCCAGTATGTATTTATTCAACTATCAAATGGGATGCAAAACTTCAAAAGTAACTTATTTATCTTCTATTGTAACAGAGACATAAGTATTGCTCGAAGTCAAGATAAGAAAAAATATTGTTCACAAAAKGTTGTATACAGCAGTGAAACCCAAAAATGTTGACTATAACAAAATATATAGATATATATTCAAACACTTGATTGCAGAAAGGCTGTAGTATACATTTACACAAATATCTAATGAGRTGCAATACTGATCAAATGAGAATAGAGGTTTTGCACCATCAAGTGTCGGTGCCCATAATACAGCTTGAGCTGCCTGTGGTTAGATGGCAGAACAATAAAATCCTTTTGCTCTCGGAATTGAGTGCTTTGTTATGTAAAACAATTGTATTGTTCCTGCCATCTAACATGGCTGCCGTCACGTGGTGGTGCAAAACCTCTATAGTATTAGTAATATATGTAGTAGAGTGCAAAAAGTTAATCCGTGAAACACTAATTACTAAATAGTACAATATAGTGCTAATTAAACGATAGAAAACAATGGAATTTGCATAAAATTGTGCTATTTAGTGTTACTAAAGTTTGACGGTTATATTGTTTGCACTCTATTGGCATAAACCTACTAAAATTTTATCACGAATCTTGCACTCTGATCCTCTGATCCTTTTTTTTTCTTCTGATTACTGCTCCACAAATTGAACAAGTTGCGCAATAATGAGAGAGGTCTTGAGCAAATATTAGCCTTACGTTTTAAATGAAGCATTTTGATCTTAAGGCGAGCTATACAACTTTCGTGCGAATGTGCACGTTCATGAAACCTAATTACGTATGCCAAAGTCCGGACCGGAACTGGAATTGGAGTTCCAGATTGAGTTGTTCGATGACTTTGATGAGTAAGGTTTGTTTTGATTTTTCTTTCTGAGAAAGTGTCCACAAATAGATTTTGTATAGTTTTACTGTGCATTTGCTGATCTCGACTCAATTCGAAACGCTCACTTATTTATTTTATCAAAAACATCAATAAATCAAAACACACAGACACCCCAAAAGTGTAAATGTCTAATATTACTTCTCTAGATGTGCAACCTTTCCAGCAATCACATCACCTATTTCGATGTCATGCCTAAATTTCATAACCAGGCCAATCTTTACATGGTATCCCAGCGTATCCTGAGCCCAGGGTGTTGTAGCTACACGCGTCATCGACTATCTATTGACCTATAGAAAACTAGACCTGGTAGTCTAATTGTTAATCGGTATTATTTGTTATGTTGTTTGTTATGTTTGTGTTTTAAAGTAAAATTTGAAAAAATCAAAAATCAAATGAGATGCAAAACTGAAAAAATAAGTTAGTATGTCAGACCTCACACTATGTGTTTCAAATTCACCATACCCCCAACCCACGCGTTTCCTTTTCCATGATCATATTCCATTACTAAATGAGTCAAGAGACGACCACAATCTATATTATTCTTATAGGATTGAAAATTGACAACTAGCTTTGTCGAAGTGAAGGAAATCTTGACAAGTACGCGCTGCCAATATAGAGGTTTAGCACCATCACGTGCCGGCGCCATAATCCAACTTGGACAGTTTGTGGTTGGATGGCAGTAAAATCCCTTTGCTCTCGGGAATTCTGAAATTCTTTCTCATGTAAAACGATTCTGTTTTTCCTGCCATCTAACATGGCTGCTATCACGTGGTGCAAGACCTCTATTACGGGTATYCGTTATGCATTGATATCTAATTCTCCCCTACTCTCTTCATCACTCTTAATAAAAAAACCTTGGTTAAAAATAGGATACTCAGTACGTATACAATAAAGATCTCATTAAAAAACTTGTTACAAATTAAGGAAGGAAGCGCGTGCTTTCAGGGGTGAAGGAAGCGGAGGCAAATGCCCCCACGAAACATTTTGTGGGGACCTGGCCCCCCCACAAAATATTGGTTCACATGAAATATAAATGCATAGATTCGATCTTTATAACTGTTATTAAGTTATTGTTGTGATTTTTGGTAGTTTCCCGCCAATATTTTTTGCAGTGCCTCCCCAAAGACTTTCAGCTTCCGCCGGCTTTATGAGAGCACACAGGCAACGCTCTCACTATCTATTGCGTAATTCCCATCCAAAATGTAATGAATTCATAATGTGTATTTTGTACAATGAACAAAACCGTGCTAGCTGTCATAAAGCACTTAAGGTATGGCACGAAAACACCTAAGAAGTAAAGATAAGTACTAAACTGCGCTTCATGCTAGTGATTTATACTCGCTGCACACAGCACGCGCAAATATTTTGCCTTTCCTTCAATAATATCTCATGAGCGATCACTTTTAGAGCTTGGAAATAGAGATTTCTCATAAGTCCGATTATTTTACGCTACGTTTTACGCGGGTGTGAACTCGTGAAAACCGTATATTTGCATGACTAAGACAGCTGGGAAAGTCATTGTAATGGTCTAAG